CACTGGTTCACTGTTGAATGCATGTTCAGCAGAAAATGCTTTAGAACCTGGAAGCACCTCGTCCATACTGAGCATAGAAGTATCTGCCCTTGTTGAATCACAAGTCACTACTGAATCACAGGGGGGAAATTCTGTATCCTTCTTCTGCCCCATATCTTTTAAAATTCCCCACAAATATATTAAGCATCTGATGCTACTTGGTTGAAGTTTGATTACCAGAGGATCAATAGAAGCATCTGCCTCCACTTTGCAAATATCTAGGGACCCATTTCTCCAAGGTATAGTCAATTTTAAGTTCCCAGCAAGTCCGCCTCTTTCCCCAGTTATTATGGGGGTTGTGACATTTGGTGAACAGCTTGACCACTCACCTGTAATTGTTCCTGAAGTGCATGGATTCGGTTTCTTATCAACAATCTCATCAATTTGAAGGAATTCAAGAACTGCTCCACTAAATTTGATAAAATTTGTCATTTGAGTCAACCCCAGAAAGTTATCATCCACTGCTTCACTATCCAAAGAAGCCCCTTCTGAGATACATGTACCACATTCCACTTCAGTTACTCTTAAAACTAAAGTTTTGCAAAGCCCTGTCCTTTTCTCCTCACCTAAACAGGGATCAAATGCTATGATCAATTTTCTAACTTCTACATGAAAGCTAGTGAGCAACCACTTAACCATCTTAGCAATGGTCTTGACTCCTTCATGAACATCAAAAGCATTTGTTTTAGCACCACCCTCGTCTACGTTATCATCATTACGGTTTCCCAAATTTTGGTTGACCGAAGCTTTGGTTGAAAGACAATTTCCGAGTGTACTTTGAGAAAAGTTTGCATCAGGAGCAAGCACAAGCTCAAGTTCATCCACCTCTATCCGACAACCATCCCCTTTCCAAGGCATTGTCACAAGCAGAGAGCCAATTGACCCTTCTTGCACATACACGGCTGCTGTGGAACCAAACTGAAAGATGCAACACTGCCATAATCAGCTAAAATCAAGCATCTCTTTGGATAATGAAGAAGAAGATGCAGTGGGTTGTAGATAGGCAGAAAGGAAATTCAAAAATACCATGGTTGAATATAATTGATGCTTTGGTACCTGACTAGTAAGATAAAGTGAGTAATACATGTTGTTGGTTCTCTAACTGAATATCCCCCCCCCCCCCCCCCC